CCGGTAGACAGAGAGCTTTGCCTTCTGGCTCAGCTCCCTTTTCGTCACAACGGTCCGGTAAAGCGACTGCAGTACCGCTCCCGCTGCTCCGATTCTCCGGCCCATCTCACGCTCCATTGTTCCCCACTCGAGAACAAGACCCCGAGATACTTGAACTCCTTCACTTGGGGTAAGGACCCTACTTGGAGTGGACAGTCCATCGGTTTCCTGCTGAGAACCATGGCCTCATGTATTTCCAAATGGAGTTGTCTTTTTGAGTCTTCGGTTTTGCTTTTCCTCACTTTCTTGTGTCATTTCTGGTCCCATAAAACCAAGATGGCTACGGTCAAACTGTCAAACTCAAATATCAAAATCCTCGACTATAACCAACAGGTGACGTCACAGTAAATCCAGACTATTAGCTAGCTGTGTCACTGAGCATGCTCCTTTTCATGCTCCAATCAATGAGAGGGCTGCCTATTTACACCCCTGGGAAAACTGTTCTTTTTAAACTAGTTCCCCCCCAAAAAACGAGACAAGGCGAGTTAAATAACTGTAATTAGGTTCATCTAGCTTTATGACATGTTATAATGCAGACATGTTGTCAACGTCAACTTTATTGTCAATCTTTCAGTTTGTGTGTAAACAGAGAGATCGAAATACCGTTTCCCACCTTCTTGAATACAAATGATAACCTCGGACATACAATATATTCTCCATCTTCAACACCCGACTGTTGTAAGATGCTCTTATATAAATGTATATATTGTGTTTTCTCTCAGGGCTCTAATGTGAAGACGGACTACGGACCCCTGCTTCACACGCTGGCTGAGTTTGGTTGGCTGCTCACCTGCGTGCTGCCCACTCCCATCATCCGCCACGACAGGTAGATCTAACACCAACTCAGTCTGATCTGCACCTCTTTAAAGCTGCTATAAGATTACTGTGTGTGTGTGTGTGTGTGTGTGTGTGTGTGTGTGTGTGTGTGTGTGTGTGTGTGTGTGTGTGTGTGTGTGTGTGTGTGTGTGTGTGTGTGTGTGTGTGTGTGTGTGTGTGTGTGTGTGTGTGGTGTGTGTGTGTGTGTGTGTGTGTGTGTGTGTGTGTGTGTGTGTGTGTGTGTGTGTGTGTGTGTGTGTGTGTGTGTGTGTGTGTGTGTGTGTGTGTGTGTGTGTGTGTGTGTGTGTGTGTGTGTGTGTGTGTGTGTGTGTGTGTGTGTGTGTGTGTGTGTGTGTAGTGATGGGAATCTGGCCACGAAGCAGGTTGTGTTTCTGCAGCGTCCGGTCAGAGGTCAGGCAGCGGGGCAACAGAGGATCCCGGTAATAGTATTTATTTACTCTTTATTTGAAACAACATTAAGAGAGAAGACAAACAAATTACATGATATTAAACAAACAAATACAAAAAAGTATAGAGGCATTTGTATGCATCAATATCTCAATATTTATGTATAGTATAACGAAATTAATCCATTTTAACATCTGTCAGTGTGGAGCTGCAGGGAGGAGCTTTCTATGTGGCTACACTGCCCCCTGCTGAGCAAACTTACAATTGCACTTCCGGCGTTCATTCACTGCAGATTTTGAAAGCAGGACTTGTACTTGTTGTGTGTATTAGTGCTTTAATTGAGTAACATATCTACTTGTTCTGTCAGTTCCTTTGAAGCTAGGACTCTAAGACAGGCCGTTTTTCTTACTAAATCTAAAATCAGTTAAATATGAATAACTTTGCCCTCATGTATCTAACTCCTGTTTCTCCCGCAGACCCTCTCGGTGCACAGCGAGGTTTCCAATCGCTCCGTGAGTCGGTCGGTCAGCAGCCCCCTCTCCCCCCCCGAGGATCCCTCTCCCACCGCGGGGGGCATCGGGGGCTTCCCAGTGTTCGGGGGGGGGTATCCCAGCGCCTTGTCCCACCTGGAGGAGGGGGGCTTCGAGCAGGAGGAGGGGAAAGCTGAGGTCACCTGCATGTGAGACGGAGGATTACTGAAGGAAAATCCACGGACTTTTTTTATTTAACAGAGACTTTAACGTAGAAGAACTCTGCACTTTTATAATAACAAAAATGTTTTTCATGAAGCCATAATGAGGATGAGGTATACTTTTAGATCTATGTCCAGACTTTAAGATATGTTAAGGGAAGAAACACATACACACTTTATGTTCTTCAAGTGCACATGGGAAATGGTCACATTAAAGCACAGATTTCTGCACATTTTTGGAAACACTGGTGGTGATATGTGGTAAAATGGCACCAGCTCACATCATTTTAAAAGTTGAATTCCTTCACAGTTAAACACATTTTATTTTCCCATTATTATATATGTGTGTACATGTTCTTCCACACCTTCATATGCGCTCCTTGTATTTCAAAATAAAAGCTCCTCTCCTATGAAAGGAAGGTTATTCAGGTCACTTTATTCCTGTGTACTTTGGTACTGACAGTAGTACATTTGTACACATAACAGTAGTTCTCTGAGGAAAGTCTGAAGTATTTTCGAGTTCTGGTGCTATGAGGATTCATATCAGTGTTTTTAACCTCCCTCCTAATTCGTGCCATTTCATAATCATTCTGAAAATGGTTGTGTCTCATCATGCATACATTTAAAAGTATTATTTCATATCTCATCAGCCATGATATGCATTGTTTTCCTTTAGTGCAAAGTGCTGTTTTGCAGCTTGTATGGTACTGGAAATACACCTGCTGCTTTTCTTATATTAATACAATAACATATGTAATTCCTTAAAGGGTAACTCCGCCTATTTTATGCATCAAAGTGTGACTACATGTCTCTGTAAAGTAGTTGTATAAAGCATCAGTTTGTTCTAAGGACTACAAGTGGTTCTGTTGCATTGTGGGTAATGTAGGCGACAGGTTTAGAATAGGAACACAATCATGAATTGTATACTTTTTTTTTTAAAAACGGTATGTGAACATTGTTATAGGAGGGAATATGTTAAGTGGAGTCCTATAAAAGCAACGAAAGGGATTTTTTTTTAAGAGGACACAATGCTGTTATATATATATATATATATATATATTTAGATGTTAGCAACCATTGTGCAGATTTGGGTTTCAGATAAATGTGATGCATGTTATTTTGCTTTTTTGGGGTAAAGAGATGAAATGCAACTAGTTCAGGTATATCAGTGATGTACATACCACTCATTTATACATGTTTTAAATGTATTAAACTCTCCAATTCTGCGTCAGCATTTACTACATTTCAGTATTACATTTCCAGCCTTTCATCTAATTTTGTTTTGCAGATTTGTAAATTTTTATTGTATTAAACATTTATTTCCCATGGTTTGAAAGTCGTGTCATTAACAGCAGCGTATACAGTGTTCATTATGACTTGTTCCTGTCCTTATTAATCCTGTTGAGTTACACAGGTTCAACAGTTCAAAGCTTTCGGTACCACTTTACAATAAGACCCCTTAAACACAGGCTCACTATTTAGCAAGATGACTAAGCCTTATATTGGCTACTTAGCGAGAATCAACTCAGTGAGCAACAGATACCAAGGATGCTGGCTGATGAGGAAGACGAAGTAAGCTAGCTAGCCAATATAAGACTTAGTCATCTTGCCAAATAGTGAGCCCACATTTATCTGTACTGCCAAGTCTTATATTGGCTACTTAGCTTACTTCGTCATGGGCCCTTTAAAGCACGTTATTGAATTTTATTATTTTAAAACTAATGACATATCTATAATATACATTGTTTTTTTAAATAAACCTACCTCTCTGTAAGTCAGTGGCCCCCGTCTCTACTATTATTACAGTATAAGGAAATGTCAAATTGTTCTTCAACTTTCAGCCAATCAGGAACGCCGCTCCCTATGTGGGCGGGAGAAACCAGGCGCACCTTGACCATAGGGAGCAGTTCATTGGCTTAGAAATCTCTTGTCATGTCAGAACATGTTTAAAGAATAGAGAAACTACAGTAGTTTATGAACATCCACATTTAATGCACCATTGCAGTTTGTGATTCAAATATGTTCCTAATTAAACATGCAGTTGTAATAATTTCACTTCCTGAAATAGTGTACATTTTTCAGGGCTTTTGATTCATTAAAGGCCTTCTTAACTACATTTGATATGTTCCTCTGGCTTCATCTAGGCTGCATGCTCAACATGTCACCACCGACTTACAAAAACCATCCTGATAAACTTTTAATCATTCCTATTTTTATAGCAAACCAAACCCAGTAGAAAACAGGTTCAAAGCCTGTCATCGGCCTTAATGCACAATTATTTTAGACCAGTTGGAAATAAATACAGATAGTTCAACCTTAAAACGATCTTCCAGGAAAGCAGCCCTGTGAGATGTAACTATAGACTGTACGTGACATCAAAGAATCTTGCTGGGACTATGCTGTCACCTTCTGGTGCAGAAGTCAAATGGCTCAAAATAAACTCATGAGTTGCTTCTAAATACTCTCTCTGTACACACGTGGACTTACATGTTGTTACAGTTACAATATTGTTTTAATATTGTCTGCTTATCTGTATTATTGTGTTGCATTGTTGGAGAAGCCTGTGACCTAAGAGTTTCAACGACATAATTACTCTGTAGCTATGTTAGTTTGACAATAAAGAACCTTGAACCTTGAGCTACAAACCTCAACTAATGTGGTTTGTAGATTTCAATCTTTTGGATTCAGGATTTCAAGGGATATAACTTTCACATTTTGGTTTAAGAAATAATTGTTGAATCGCATGTGATTTATTATATTTTCTTCTGTTGTTTGTGCTTTCACCCATTCTTGTCTTGAGGTTTCTCATAATATTGCAATATGTATGTAAAATGGGAAGGGGTGTGTCACAAGTATTTGCCACTAGATGTCACTAGACAGGTTTTGGATGCATTGGTTCTGTCGCAGCTTGATTACTGTTTTGTACTTTGGTCTAGTGCTGCAGAGAAAGACTTAAACAAATTAAGTGGCAGCCAGGTTGATGCCAGGTGGCAGGAAAGAGTCTCATTGAAGAGAAACACAGATCACTCTTCTCACGCTCACAGTGAATATGAGAGACAAGTAGGCTGACAAAAAGAACAAGGGTGTGCCGCGTGAATAGCACATCTTGTCAATGCAAACAGACCATTATAGCACTGTTATAATTAATGTTAAACCTGAGATTCGACTAGAGAACAAATACATAATAGAATAAAGGTCATGAGATCTCGGCATTGCACAAACAAACAAATCTCATCTTTAAAATCAACATTTACCTTCACTGGTGAGAGAAAACAAATCCCATCACAGTTCATTTGTGGGACTTTTACCTTTCTAGTATTGAACAGACAATGAAAAATACATAACATATGAAGAAAAACGATTATACAATCTAATTTATAACACCCGCCATCACGGGCCACGGACTCACTTGTACAATTAATTAAAAAAGAAACCGGATTTGATTTCGGTACGGTATACCGTAGCCACCAGTAACCGGTATTTCGGTAATACCGGATACCGGTATGCATCCCTACTAAGAGCAAATACTTTATGCTGCCTACGTTTCTTTGCTCTCCGTTATAGAAGCATTGAGATCCATGTTTTTAATTATTATTTAAATGTTTTTCTCTCTTGTGTTGGACTTGAAGCTTGTGACATGAATGAAAAGGTGTTGCTGTTTGCCGGGTGGGAGAAAGGGAACTTTGAAAATGATCGAAGGGGAATATGGCGGTATATACGGTGAATATAAAGTCATTTGGGCAAAGATGGAAACGTGCTGTAAATGCTGAGCTTGAAATGGATGTGTAAGAACCGTAACACTAGATATGATTGTTCTTAGGGACATTTTAGCTTCCATTTTGTTTTGTTTTACTGGTTTGAGTCTTTTGTGTTGTCCCATATGATGCAAATAAAATAATTAAATGTGAGAAAGTACGGTATGTTCCTTTTAAAAATGTCTTAAAGTAATGTGTTGTGTACAGTACCATTTCTGTGATGTATAACGACATATAACATGATAGAAGGAAAACACCTTTTTCCACATTTGTTTAAGTCACAAACAAATGTCTTTTGTCTAATTGTGTGTAATGTTACAGAAAATGGTGAAACACAACTAACTAATTTGACATTTTGGTAAATTACTAAAGGTGAAGATGTGACAGGGTGGAGGCTTTTAATCGTTTTCTTTTTTAAACAGACGGAGGGCGAGATTTGGTACAAGTCCATCAGAGAAGACCTCTTTTATACTTATTGTATGTTTATTGTGTACGTTATGAAAAATGCAGAACATTGAGTGCAAGTGACTATGAAATAAGACCTTTGTGTTTTGTAGAAAGGTTGTATCTACCTGTGCTTGGGTGGAAGTTCTTGTTGATGATCAGACAGGTTCCGATGCAGGGATAGTCCATCTTGCAGCGGTAAGGGTCACTACAGCTGCGGGGGGCCGAGTCTCACTGCTGCCTGCAGGCTTTGCACCCAACCTAAAAATACACACACACACACACACACACACACACACACACACACACACACACACACACACACACACACACACACACACACACACACACACACACACACACACACACACACACACACACACACACACACACACACACACACACACACACACACACACACACACACACACACACACACACACACACCCATGTGAAAACAGGGATGGATACTAAACAGGTCTACCAAACAGAGGCCCCATTACCCAAATACCCATTACCTTCTATTTAACATCTACATGCTCCCCCCTCGGTGAAATCATCCGCCAACATGGTCTCAACTTCCACTCCTATGCCGACGACACCCAACTCTACATCAGCACCAATCCATCATCCCAGCTACCCCCACCGTCAGTAGTCAACTGCCTCCACGACATCAAAACCTGGATGTCAACAAATCTACTGAGACTCAATAAAAACAAAACAGAGCTCATGGTTGTGGCCCCAAAAACACTGCTCCGGAAGGTCGGAGATCTCCTCCTCACCATCGATGGCTGCTCCATCCACCCTTCCCCTGAGGTTTGCAGCCTGGGCGTCACTCTGGACTCTAGCCTCACCTTCAACTCCCACATCAGGTCAACTGTCAAAACTGCGTTCTTCCACCTTCAAAACATCTCTAGACTCCGGCCCTCTCTCCCGACCCCGTTGCAGAAACATTCATTAATCTCCTCACGCCTGGACTACTGCAATGGAGTCCTGTTCGGGGTCACCAGCAAAGCCCTGGACAGGCTCCAGTACGTCCAGAACTCTGCAGCCAGGCTCCTCACCCACACTAAGCCCTGGCAACACATTACCCCCACCCTCATCCACCTTCACTGGCTCCCGGTCAAGTGACGCATCCAGTACAAACTCCTCCTGCTAACCTACAAATCTCTCCACTCCCTAGCCCCTCCATACATCTCTGACCTCCTTCAGCCCTACACCCCCTCTCGTCAACTGCGGTCCTCCGACAACGGGCTGCTCTCCATCCAGCGCTCCAAGCTAAAAACCTTTGGCAACAGGGCTTTCAGTGTCGCAGCTCCCACCCTCTGGAATGCTCTCCCCTCTGCTATCAGGAATGCCGACTCTCTGGACACCTTCAAAAAACACCTCAAACACCATCTGTTCACCCGGGCCTTTGGCCTCAGCTAAAATGAAGTAACCAGCAACCGCTTATTTTTTTCATAACCTGTGTATCCTTGTGACTATTATTATTTTGTTGTTTTATTTCCCATTGTAAAGCGTCCTTGGATCTCTTGAAAGGCGCTATAAAAATAAAAATAATTATTAAATGATTATAGCCCTTCTTGGCTTCACCAACAGAATGAAACTAAAAGAGCTACGTACAGAAAAAGTAAATAATCACAAAGCAACAACAGAGAAACAAAGAAATAATACAAAGAGACACCAGACGACTTTAAAGAGTTAAACAGATGTCAAAGAGACTCAAAACTATTTTAAAAAGACAACAAATACTTCAAAAACACAAAATAATTGTAAAGAGTTACAAAGACTTCGAGAGGAGGCCGCAGCAAAACCTCGCCTTTGCCTGACCCGGCTAACGCTACTCGAGGGGTGGCTGAAGCTAACGCACTCGACGCCGAACTTTTACAAAGTATGATGGACTCCCTGAAAGCCGACATTATTGGCAAGATGTACTCTTTGTCTTCCAGCCTACGCTCCGAGATTACCTCTGTCCGAAAAGAACTAAAAGAGTCAATAGGACCATTACAAGATAAAGTCGAGCAAACTGAGCTTGAGCTTGAACGAGCTGCTACGGACCATAGCGGCCGGATAACGGAGCTGAAAGCTACAGTTAGCATGTGTATACATCGGGGCTCGGAGCCTGTGAGAGATTTAACGAGGGGTTACGTATGGTAACCCTTGTTATATAAGCACAGGCGGAGCCCTCTACTTGGGGCACTGTCTGTCCTATACCGCTCGCTGAAGAGAGGTGTAGGAGGCGGTCAGGAGGCGAGGCCTCCTTTTATACGGTGAGATGCGCGCGCATTCAGGTAGGCCCGCCCCGGGGCCGGCTACGTCTATAGAAGTCTCAGTAGGTGAATGCTCGCATGATAAGGTAGTACCCATAGAGTCCAGTAGAGGGCTCCGCCTGTGCTTATATAACAAGGGTTACCATACGTAACCCCTCGTTAGAGATCAAGATTTTTATTATTTGATTTGTTACTTTTCACTTTAGTTTTTCTGAGCAAATGTTCTAGAGACCCAAAGCTGTATCTACAAATGTTCTGTCTTCATACAGGTCAAAACGTATACAGCTAAATATGTCTGTACATCTTGGATATTAAACGAGATGTCCACTTTTTTTATCTTCAGACAACCCTCAGCTTATTTTGCACATTTGTACACAGAGCTACCAGACTTCTGATGTGCAATAACTGCCGTAGGGTTGTCGGTTCAAGTCCCCGCACAGATCTAAAAATGGAGTGTGGACTGCTACTGCTGGGAGAGGGCCCTCAATAGCTATACTAGGATGGGTTACAAGCAGAGACCACATTTCACTGTGTGCTTTTTAAATGTATTTGTGACCAATAAAACTCAGACATGTGGTACACACTACAGGAGAATAGGGTAAACAATAAACTAACAGATATCACCATGAACCCCCCCCCCCCCCCCCCCTCATTACGGACATTAACACAGTTATCTTTGACATTACACGTTTTCTGACATGTCATGTTTAAATATGTTCATGAAGAGTTATAATGCTAACTTTTGAGGAGTTTGTTTCCCTAAAGTGATGAAAACTGTGTGTGTGTGTGTGTGTGTGTGTGTGTGTGTGTGTGTGTGTGTGTGTGTGTGTGTGTGTGTGTGACAGACAAAGACAGTAAAACATAATCCTAATATGGATTTTGGATGTTTGAGTGGATTACAGAAAACATCATTAAGTCCCACTTTATTATTATTGATGTTAATTATTATAACGTGTTACATCATATTATTTTGCATTACTCTGTATATTATATAACCATGTATTATATTAAATGATCTTATAAAGTTGTTGCTAACAGGCCAAAGTTTCTCTCCTCAGAGGACTAAGGAGAAACCTTTTTTGTTGACCGCCTCGGACCAATTACTGAGATAATCACCTCAGCTACTCAGCAGCTCAGGTGAGTGTGTGTTGTGTTTGTGACAACAGAGCCCCCCCTCCCCCCCCCCCCCCCCCCCCTGAGACTCACTGTGACCACTGGGTCATAATTAGCTCTTTGTACACTGGCTGTAGTCGGAGAGGGGGGAGGGGCTCTAATGACCCTCATTACATCAGCTTCTGTGGACACGGCTGTGATCTGAACACTTAGCATCATATTACTGAGAGGAAAACACACACACACACACACACACACACACACACACACACACACACACACACACACACACACACACACACACACACACACACACTAATAGACACACATACACACACACACCCTATTAGACACACATACACACACACACACACACACACACACCCTAATAGACACACACACACACACACACACACACACACACCCCTAATAGACACACATACACACACACACACACCCTAATAGACACACACACCCACACACACACACACCACACACACACACACACACACACACACACACACACACACACACACACACACACACTTTCCAGTCTTACCTAGAGACGCAACTAAAACTAGACTTTTTTGTATTTGCCAAACGTTTATGTGTAAGACAGAAAATATTTAGCTGATTCATGATTTTGGGGGGGGGGCCTAAAGACCCTCATTACATCAGCTTCTGTGGACACTGCTGTCGTCTGAATACATTGCATCATGTTACTGAGAGACACACACACACACACACACACACACACACACTCTTTAGGTCATTTCTGATCACTTTGTCACCACATGTTGACCTCTTGACCTTAGAGTGTAAAAGTTAATGCTCTTTTGAACTCATCGTGAAGATTGCTCATCTTACGATTGTTTATCGTAATAAGACAACACAGATTGGATTGCGGGAAGAAGAACTTGTATTTTCAGTTGCTCTTATTATTGCTATGTAGGCTTTTGCTTTTGTTGTATACTTTATTATGGTGGGTAAATATGATCTGTGATTCTTCTTTGTAATTGTTAGCATCTGTCTCTGAGGGGGCGGCTGTTAAAGCTGCAGCTTCCTGATCTCTTCTGTCACATTTCTTCATTTTTCATCATCTGTATTTGATGCAGTCTTTTATGTGCGCAAACAAACTGATTCAAGTTTACAAACACAACACAACACCAACAAAGAGTCAACAGCAACACAAAGCTGTTTGGCATTGGCAGAGAAGATCTGGCACATTATTCGTGGCGTGACCCACACACTCAGCTCTGCTTCTCATCCCACAAACGCTTGTTCCTCACAAATGTGGCTCCATTGAAAAGAGAAATAAACAGGCTTTCCAACAGTATGAAATGTAATGCCAAGAAGCATTGTGACAAACAAGTAGTCGTCTACCAAACACACATTTCCTGACTTGTTGTGCTTTGTTTAGTAACTCTTCGCCCAACCCAGGTAACATTAGTGTGATTTGATCCGACACAACAACAATTGAAGGTGTTTAGAGGTTTCTTTCACGTTCAGTCCGTATATGATTGGGTTGAAGACGGAGTGATAGGAAACTATTTGCAAAGTCAATATCAAACGTGTCATTTTGGGAATATTGAATCCTAGAGGAATTATAACAAGATCTAAATCAGATAAACAGGGAAAGCTGATTAAAACCAACAGGTGGGGTCAACAGGTCTGTGCAGCTTTTCTCCTGTACTCTCTACCATTCTGATATGATAGTATAAGTCTCCTGGTGTATGTAAAAAGTATGAAGATAAGAGGCAGAAGGGACACATTTACCAACATGAGCACTCCATATACAGAGAGAGCGCTCGAGCTCACACGCTGAAGATTGTAAATTGAATTGTTACAAAAAATCCCCCTAATAGTAAAACTGCAGAGTTTGCTATTAGAATAAAGAATGCATCCCAATGCAGTCTCACAAGTCGGCAGAAGCCAAGACAAAACCAGACAGACATCGACAGTTCTTTTCCTCACGATGGTTGAATAATGCAGAGGTTTACAGAGAGACACGTATCTGTCGCAGGCCATGGCTGCCAGCAGTGAACACTCTGAAAAGGTCAAAGTCATATTCATCACATTTTGAAACAGACGGGCTCGATAACATATGATCTGTTTCTCTGATAAGAAGTCAATCAGAAGCCTGGGGTAAATATTGGTGCTATAAAGAACAGAGTCAATCAACAAAGCTGCAATGAACATGTACGTGTGGTGCAGTGGGTTGAGCGTTGGTGTTCGGATCAGGGGGTCACAGGTTCAAACCCCGCAGCAGTCAGCTGAGACCCTTCACCCCAAAGTGCTCCTGTGGGGATTGCCCTCAGTATTGAGTATGTGAGTCGCTTTGGATAAAAGCGTCTAACAAGTGACCTGTGATGTAATGTACATAGGCTCATGAGGCTTTTGTGAATAACAGGGTTCATACACTTCTCCATGACTTCTCAATGACCTTTACCTAATTTTCCATGACCAAAAAGAATGACCACTGAAAATGGTTTATTTGAACATGGAACAGGAAAATAAGGTCTGATATGAAACATGTAGTGCCGATCTAAAACAAATCAAATAGTAGGCTTACTAGCTTCTACTCGCTAAAGCAACTGCAGTCAGGGAGGCAAAGTCATCAGGTATGAAAAAGGTGACAAGGACCCGACCCCTGACCCCACGGAATATCGGTTTAGGAATAACAGAGGAGTTTAGCAGTCAGAGCGACTAAAGCAGCAGGTCATAATAACAGAAACGCCAAAGAGTCACATCTAATAGAAATATATAAAAGCTTTTATTTTAATTGTGTAGCAGTCAGTTTATCATTCTGGCAGCACTGTTGAGTTAATGTATTTTCATGCCTCTGTGCAAGGCTTCGTCTTTCTATCTGTATAGCCAGTGGTGTAAAGTAACTAAGTTCATAAACTCAAGTACTATACTTGGGTACAATTTTGAGATACTTGTACTTTAAGAATTTCAATGTTTTGCTACTTTGTTCTTCTACCCCACTACAGTTCAGAGGTACATGGTGTACTTTTACTCCACTACATGTATTTAATACATTTAGTTACTTTACAGATGTGGATGAATGATGTGAAATCTAATCAAGTGTTGAATCAGACTTTAGCTCCACCTGGAGTAAATCCACCAGCTACCCTGCAGTATACAAAGTCATTCAAACTAGCTGCACCTTCACCAGCTTTGAGAACACTTTCATGATCAATCATTATAAAACATATCATATATATTATTCTGAAATGGACCAATCTGCACAATGCCTACTTTTACTGTCGCTACTTTCACTATATTTTGATGAGAATACTTTTCTACTTTCACTTTTCTACTTTTTACTTCTACTAAAGTACAATATCTGAGTACTTCTACTTTTACTCAAGTACAAGATCTGAGTACTTCTACTTTTACTCAAGTACAAGATCTGAGTACTTCTACATTTACTCAAGTACAAGATCTGAGTACTTCTACTTTTACTTAAGAACAAGATCTGAGTACTTCTACTTTTACTCAAGTACAAGATCTGAGTACTTCTACTTTTACTCAAGTACAAGATCTGAGTACTTCTACTTTTACTCAAGTACAAGATCTGAGTACTTCTACTTTTACTCAAGTACAAGATCTGAGTACTATTAGAAAACGAAGGCTAAAGCTAACGTTAGCAGATAGTGACAATGTATGCTAGCTAGCTAGCTCATCGATTCCTTAAATAATATTGCGACAGAAAAACGTTCCAGTTCACATCACGCTCTGCCGCTCTGCTCTGAACACCTGAACGGCCCGTTCTAACAGCTGTTCACCAGCGGCTCAGTCTGTGCCACAGTGACTCCGCACAGTTAACGAACGCACCGTAGATAATGTAGCTGACCCTCATCCCGGAGCAGCAGAGTTCAGCCGACAGGCAGGAAGACTCGAGCACACAGCTCGCGCTTCATATATTAAAAAATAACACCATGCGCGTCATGATGGCACCTAACAGCTCGCGACCGCAGATTATTTCGGTGATTAGATCAAATGTAAATTATATTTGACGCAACTTTAGTTACATTTCCATGACTTTTCCAAAACTTTGGGAAAAATATCGTTTTCCATAATTTTTCCAGGGCCTGGAATTTGCATTTTGAATTTCCATGACTTTTCCAGGTTTTCAATGACCGTACGAACCCTGGAACAACAATGATGCACACAATAGTGGAATTACTGCAGATGATCAGAACATAAACATGATCACAAAATACAGATATCTATATCTCTGCACTTCCACATGCCCATCAAAAGTGATGTCACATTGAATTGAGCATCCATCAGTAATGCAGGCAGATCATATGTTCACTCTCATGAACAATACCTGAACAGTCTCTCTTGCAGGAACATGCAAGCTGTGATGAAGAGTGCTAATGCTTCACACAAAGAGTGACAGACAGTGACTGAGTCTGTGGGAGGTTTTTTATCTGACTGCTAACTCCTCTATGGATCTCATTAAACTCCATCAACACGTGAAGAGCTTCAGCAAACTGAATTGTACTGAATACAAAGGCAATGTTTGATGTAACGTGGATTGATCACGTTACTGTGAGAGTTAACTGTAAATGAGGTTAAATTGTTAACATAGGTTCAGGAGCATGGCCACGCCTAAAACTCCGCCTCGAACCACGGCCACCCCTATTTATATCCGGCAAAACTTCCGGCCACTGCTTGTCTCCATCCTTTCAAGGACTGACAGCCAGACCGTGATTCACGCCGCGCGTCGTCACGGTTCAAACAAGCTAAACGCTACCACGAGAACATTCAACTCACCATGGATCCCGAACTGCTGATCAACTCACCGGAGTCAGACGAAGATCTCTTCGACATCGGCTACCCGCCATCCACGTTTCAGCAGTTGGATCTTAGCCAAGCATCCGAACGGAGCCGTGTGCGCTCGGCAATCAGTGTCCCACACACCAGCCGCGACCGCTCCCACTCAAGCTCCCCCAACGAGACACCTCCAACTCCAGACAGGTCCCAGGCTTCGTCTACTCCGCCAGCGTGGGCAAACAACCGGGGCCACAACAGGCACAGCCAGCTCCAATCTCCCCACCAACGGCAGCCTGCCTCACTAGCAGCCCCCGGCCACTCGCAGCGGCGCACTCGACACGCCTCTCGGACGGAGCCGCACTCCGAAACGGAGCCCAAACTCAGGAGGTGGACAGTCATTCAACTCCAACGTTTCCTGAGAGAAAACGGCATCCACTTTCACCTAAATGACAACAAGGCTAGACTGTTCAACCTCTACAAAGCCTACAGCAGCACAACGGCAAGAACAACGAGACACACAACTCTTCCTGCTCCAGAGCCAACCACCGCGCGGCACGCGCACCACGGGTCGTGACGTCACAGGCCTCCGTCCTCCTCCACGGACACAGCCCGACTCACCAGCACCCCCTGGTTGGGGCCAGGTCGTATTGCCCTCTGTGCCTGCTCTCTCTGTGTCTGACATGTCGCAGCTCATGTCAACCTTTCTCTCATCCCTGTGCTCACAGGCTTCACGAAATCCCCTTGCACATACATCCCTTCATCCCTTCTTCTTCTTCTCTACCTTCAGCAGTCCACAGCAACCCAGCTTCTGCTTACCTTCCTCCTTTAGCAGCTAACCCCGTATCAACAGCACCTCACCCAGTAACCCAAGGGGCCATGCTACATGCTAACCCATTAGCCGACTCTTACCCAGTACCTTCTTTTCCCAACTGTTCTATCCTTCCCCCCCCCCCTCCCCCATCCCCCATCCCCCCATCCCCCCCCATCCCCCATCCCTACCCCATCCCTACCCCATCCCTACTCCATCCTCCCTGTGCAACCAGCTACACTCTAGCCACAGCAACACCGCCCATCCAGCCAGCCTCCTCAGTCTATCGCCCTTCCCCCGTGTCCCCCATCTTGCGCCAACAGATTCCCCTAGGTAACTACGTAGACTTGGCTCAGCTACTACAGCCATCAATCATCGACACTAGCCAGCCCAGGGAAATGCAGACCAACTTCGGTTTAGTCCAGCTGCGAAATCCATCACCTCTGAGGTCTAAGGACTTAACCCCCGCAGAGTTCGCCCTAGCTTTTTCCCTTTACCGCGACGTCATCTGCTCAGTCTATCCCACACGCAGAACCGAGTTGGACGACCTCCTCATAGAGCTCGACATAGCCTTACACTTCGGAGACTCAGGTTTTTACACCTACCACGTCCACTTTGCTAGCCAAGCCGCCGGCCGCATCAAGCAGTTCAACCAGGGAACATACTGGGGCGCTCTGGACTCCGAGCTTTACTGCCGCATCTTCGCAGCACGCGCATCCCTCTCTTGCCAATTATGTGGAGCCCCTTCCCACCCGGCCTCAGCGTGGTCAGTCAGCGCCCCACCACCCGAGCCGCCCCGCTCACTCCCCTTTCCTTCAAGAGGCAACGCCTCAACCTTCAACCGCCTGTCACCTGCCGCACCCCCACCTCCCATCATCCCTAGGCCCGCAAACGAATGTTAACCAACCAACGCCCCCGTTTCAAAGGGCGTCAACAGACGCGGAAGGCCAATCCTCTACCAGGGAGGCAGGATGGTGCGCAACAATTTCAATGACCTAGGCTGCTCTCTTTCTAGCTGCCGCCTCATGCACAGCTGCTCTTTCTGCGGCGGCGCTCATGCCAGGAGCACCTGCCCTCACAACCCAACTACACCAGCAGATTGAATAGCACGGCACCTCAGCACACCCGTCAAGATAAGCAACTTAGCTACCGCCTCAGTGAATCATCCAGATAGTTTGTTTACTTTCTCACCAATGGCTTCACCCATGGTTTCCCCCAGGCATAGCAATACTGCCTGACACATCTCACATCTGCCACAACCTTCAGTCCGCTTTAACAGAACCTCACACCTTCGAGACCTTACTGGTCAAAGAAGGATTCATGATAGGCCATTCGATAGTCCCCCCTTTCCAGTGTCCGCATCAGTCCAGTAGGCATAGCTACTCGGAAATACTCCGGGAAAAGAGGCTCATAATAGACCTGTCTTCTCCACACGGCTCAGCCATCCCGAGCATTAACAGCGTCATTCCAAGCCCAGACTTTTCGATGCAATACGCAAACATCGACCACGCCATCACCCTCATCCGCTCAGCAGGCCGGGGAGCATGGCTCTCTAAGGCAGACATCACCAGTGCACTCAAGATCTTGCCTATTCACCCAGACTCCTGGCGTTTCTTTGGAGCGTACTGGAAGGGAGCCTATTACATCTCAGTACGCCTCACATTCGGCTGCAGAAGCAGTCCCAAAATCTTTGACTCCCTTTCAGAAGCTCTGTGCCGGATCTTGACAAACAACCACAGACTCCCCTATGTGCTCCATCTTCTCGACGACTTTCTCACTATCACTCCACCATCCTCACCCCCCTGCCACGGGCTGAGCACACTCATACAAACATTTTTCAAACCTTGGCATTCCTCTGTCTGAAGAGAAAACCTCAGGGCCTACAACCTCCATTGAGTTTCTAGACATCACCCTGGACTCAATGTCTTTCCAGGCTTCTCTATCCTCAGAGAAAGTACAGCGCATCACTCTCCTCTTGTCAAACTACTTATAGGCAGACAGATGCACAAAACGGCAGCTGTTAGCCCTCCACGGCAGCTGTTAGCCCTCCACGGCAAACGACTCTCTCATATTCACACTCCGAAGGAATAAAACGGATCAGCTGGGAATTTCTTTACCCATCCACATCTTTACATTACATTACATTTAGCTGACGCTTTTATCCAAAGCGACTTACAATAAGTGCGTTCGACCAACAAAATACAAACTTGAAGAAAACAGAATCATATAAGTGCATCAGGTTTCATAGAGCAAAACATTTCAAGTGCTACTCAACTGGCTTTAGGTAAGCCAGTCCTTTATTAGTATACAAGTGCTTTGTTAGTAATTATATCGCTCGAAGTGGAGTCGAAAGAAATGATCTTCCGCCTGAACACGTATCCCAGCCCATACGAGCCACTAACCAAATACCTCAGCGTAAGGTACGATGCACACGCAACGCCTCAACTCTTTCTCACCGACACAGAAAAGGCCACACGTTTCTGGTTCCAGAGACACTTCCACAATGTGTTGCTTATTTTGGGGATATGTTCAGAACATTATTCGAGCCATTCCTTCTGCATTGGCGCAGCTTCCACAGCTGTGTGTGTGTGTGTTGTGTGTGTGTGTGTGTGTGGTGTGTGTGTGTGTGTGTGTGTGTGTGTGTGTGTGTGTGTGTGTGTGTGTGTGTGTGTTTTGTGTGTTGTGTGTGTGTGTGTGTGTGTGTGGTGTGTGTGTGTGTGTGTGTGTGTGTGTGTGTGGTGTGTGTGTGTGTGTGTGTGTGTGTCAAAGACAGTACAACGTAATCCTTAATATGGATTTTGGATGTTTGAGTGGATTACAGAAAACATCATTAAGTCCCACTTTATTATTATTTATGTTAATTATTATAACGTGTTACATCATATTATTTTGTATTACTCTGTATATTATATAACCGTTTCTTATATTAAATGATCTTATAAAGTTGTTGTTAATGTATTTGCTAACAGGCCAAAGTTTCTCTCCTCAGAGGACTAAGGAGAAACCGTTTTTGTTGACCGCCTCGGATCAATTATTCTGTGGACACGGCTGTCATCTGAATACATTGCATCATATTACTGAGAGGCCAACACACACACACACACACACACACACACACACACACACACACACACACACACACACACACACACACACACACACACACACACACACACACACACACAGGTGTTTGTCTCTCAGCAACAAACCTATAGTGTCCAGCTTCTTCAGAGTGGATCATTACAGGGGAGGAGGGCTTCCTCTCATCATGTCAAAGCTCTCACTAACAAGCTGAGTCACATACACTGTTTTATTGTTAGTACCCACGTTGAATCTTAAAACATAATTGTTGATGGTTGGTTCAGTTGTCTAACTATTGTCTTTAATAGTTGTCCTCATTATATTGAATGCTTTCAAGGTTATCGTGCTGATCTGAACACAAGTATAACATATGTAAATGTTCCTACACTTTCAGGCATGGAATCAGTAAGTCAATAATTATTCTGTATGAGTGTATTTCAATGTACTGATGTACTGAGAGTGTTGAATTCATTGAATATGGTATTCTTATGCAAGCATTGATTAACATGGTGTGTATGCTATGGATTATTCTCACTTACATTATCCTTCAATGTGATGATGCTATGTGCTGGCTGGGGCACGTTTAGCCTTTTTTTCAGGTCTTCCTCTCCTCCCTTTACCGGTTGGTCTTTGAATGCACCTCTCTTTTTGCTTTAGGTGCAAACACAAACATTTGAAATCTGAGTGAAATACTGTTTCAATAAGTGAGAGATGCCAGGATTGTGGTGCATGTAGTTTATGAGAAGGTCTTAGTTTGTGTACATCACTTCTTCGGTTACTTGGAATTGATATTTACTATTGTCAGGTCCAGCTGTGAACGTTTGCCGTTCACATGCATGCAGGTTATTGTGGTTTTTAGTATTGTATGTGTTGAATTAGGACATGTTGCAGTTATATCCCGTCCTTTTATCCAGATATAGAAAGCCTGAGTAAGTCTGTGAACTCCTGTTTGAATAACTGAGACAGGCCAGACCTTTGCTGCATGTAGTGTATGTGGAGGTGAGATATTCCCAGCACAATATTGTCATGTGCAACCCTAGGAGATTTTACAATTCACGTGCATGCAAGCAGGCTGATTTTGTATTAATATATGAATATTGAGTGACATACGTTGTTTTATTGTTAGTACCTGGACACAGGTAGATCATCATACTGTATACATGTGTATACTGCTTCTGCATGCAAGTATTTGTGCACATATATGTATTTAAAATAAGGAAAGAATATATTCTCACTTATATTTGATTTACTTCAAATGAGATTATATTGATTATTGTCTGCTTGTGACCTTTCCTTAAGTCTTGCATCTCCTTTCTATAACTCTTGTTCTTTCTATGAATGTGTTCTCTGTTCAGGCCGACTTGCAAACATGAAGGAGGCAATGTGTAGGAGTGTGAAATAATGTTTAAATCAATGCGAATGACCATGTTGGTGGTTCATGTAGTTTATGAGACTTTTTTCCTGCCCTTCATTTGTGTGCTTCTGTTCTCCAGCTACATGAAGCTAAATTCAATATTGTCAAGTGCAAGTGTTAGGAAGGTTGTAATTCACATGCACGCAGGCTTATTGTGTTTTTGCATTACTGTTGGTGTTGAATTACGACATTTTCCTTTGAACATTTCCCTTATTGTGCATTTATATTCCCCCTTCCTTCGCAGATATAGAGAGCCTGAATAAGTCTGTGAACTACTGTATGTGGAGGTGAGATTTTCCCAGATGTTATATTTAACATACAACTGTTGGAGATTGCATGCAGGCTGATTTTGTATTAATATCTGAAATGTAGCTAACAGCATCTCATTAACAGTTCCTGTATTGTTCCTCTCTTTGGAGCAGACATGAAGAGCAACAGCAGCCTGAACCCTCCCTACTTTCAGTTGACTCTGTTTGCAGACTTTGGGCCCCTCAGATACCTGTTCTTCATCTTGTGTCTGTTCATCTATGTGACTATAGTCTCTGCTAACATGGTCATTATTCTGGCAGTGTTCCTGGAGAAGGCTCTGCATCAGCCCATGTATATTTTCATCAGCTCTCTGTGTGTAAACTCTCTGTTTGGCTCAGCTGGATTCTTCCCCAGGTTCCTGCAGGACATCGTCTCTGACACTCATTTGGTCTCACGTCCATTATGCTTTATTCAGATGTATGTTATTTACACCTATGCTTGCTGTGAGATGACCATCCTCACCATCATGGCCTACGACAGATTCATTGCTATCTGTCAGCCCTTACACTACCACAGTAAAATGACCTTCAAATGGGTGCAGGTTCTTGTGCTCGTTGCTGTTTTATACCCAGTATTTACTATTGGCTTCTGCGTCTATCTTACTGTTAGATTACCGCTGTGTGGAAATAAACTGAACCGGATTTTCTGCTCTAACTGGCCTGTGGTGCAGCTCTCCTGTGTGGACACCACTCCAAACAACATAGCTGGTCAGTTTCTCTCGGTGACCATCATCTTCATCCCCCTATTCTTCGTCCTGTACACATATCTACAGATTCTGCTGGTCTGCAGGAAGAGATCGTCTGAATTCAGAGGAAAGGCGTTACAAACCTGCCTGCCTCACATCGTGTCCTTTATGACCTACTCCATCTCTCTCTTCCTCGAGGTGTCTTTAACTCGATTTGAGGCTGATCAACTGAATCCAAGCATCACAGTTATTTTGTCTTTAGCGTATCTGTTCATTCCCCCCCTCAATAACCCTATCGTGTATGGCCTGGGTCTGCCTCAAATCAAAGGAGTCGTGTTGAGATTTCTGAAGAAGGGTCCTGCTGCTGAAATATAAAAGGAATATGTTGACCATGTTAGATTGTGTTTCCTATCATAATTATTTAAAGGGATACATGATTAGATAGAGATCAACATAAAGCACAACAACAATATTGTATATGCTCGATTTAACTCAGATTTGGCTTGAATTTCCCTCAAATGTTAAAATATCACTATTCTGTTAAATGTAATAGATTTAAAGTTAGAACACATATTATGTTCTGCCTCTTCATGCATATTTAAGGTCAATATTATAATGTATTTTATTTGAACATGTCCTCATAAAAGTAGATTTGACAGGAATTCAGGTTTACTGTATGTTAGGCATTGTGATGTTACACCACTTACTGTTATTGTGTTTTAATATTTTGTTGTGAATCATTCACCCTGTGTTACTATAATGAAAATGTAATGATGATGTAATATATTCAATAAACAACAGTCTACAGCCATGTGAGTCCCTGCTTTTTCACCTTCACTTAAATGCTATTGTTAGCCATTTGGAACATGTTTAACCTTGAAGCATGCTAACATTAGATAATTATCAGTGCAGCTGAGGATTATGGGAATTGATAAACTATCAAGCTTTCTATGTTTGGCCCCCTGCCTTAACTTGAATGTTATACGTACAGTAAATTACAAAGATCGGCAGTTCTTTGTCCAAAACGTTTGCCTTGGTGAACTATTTTTGCAAGAACATATTTTGTGAAATGTTAGTAAGATTGGTCACTTTCCATGCAGGTTTAGTGTGAATTTGCTGTTTTCAAAAGAAAGTGGTTTGCATTAACAATTGTAATGTATCTATGATAGAAGTAGAATTAACACTAAATAACCAAATATAATATCACAAAAAGCGGGCCTGAAACCTGACATTCACTTTTAGGACCAAACTGACAGTTGTTCTTGTGGTCTTGGGTCAAAATGTTTATTTTCAAAAATATATTACCTTCCACGAAATTACATATGAAAATTGCTTCTGTTGTCCCAGTTTTATTAATTTGATTAACAAGACAACTTTCAGGGATTTTCACTAACTGCTGGCCTACTCCAGATACAATGCACTTTTCAACAGCTCACCTCTGGCTGGCAGATGACCATCACCAGTGCTCCAACCACATACACAACCCGATGGGCCCAAGCCCGTGCTACAAACAAAATATATAGAAATGTACAGTATTTACAAAACCCCTGAGCCGGCAGGACAGCCAGACGCTCTCTTCGGCCTCTGTAAGCTTAGGCGCAAGACGCTACGTAGAGCTTCACTGGCCCCGCAAGACGCTAAGGCCAGTGATCACAGGGGTTTAAGGAGCCGCTCAAGCTAGCCTGCTGGACGCGAGGCCAACTGACAGTTTCAAGTGGCAACCTCACACAGGCCACTCACACCCGGGTTACCTGTTGGGAAACCATAGACAATATCTAGCGCTGGCTAGCACGGAAAACCAACTCCCCAAAGGGAGCGGATGAAGCCTTCTCGCCGCAGGCCCAAGGACTGCGTCCATGCACCTGGTGATGGTGTGAGGGGCCAGCGAGATCCCAAAGGGGAGGACATAGAATTCGAAGATCTTGTCCTCTCAGAACCGTAGGAACCGCCTGTGACCCTCCCAGATGGGAATCTGAAAGTAGGCGTCCCTGAGGTCTATGGTGGCAAACCTATCGCTTGCCTGGATTGCCTGCCTCACCCTGGGAATTGTCAAATGTTTAACTTCAGGGGCTGGAGAAACCAGTTGAGGCCACTGAGGACCAGGATTGGTCTTAGTCTCCCATCCTTTTTGGGGACGAGGAAATAGCGGGAATAGAACTCAGCCCGCCGATCCCCTGGCAACACCTCCCTGACTGCACCTTTCGCTAGGAGGGTGGAAACCTCCACCCGTAACGCCTCTGTGTGCCGCTGGTCCGTCACTGACGAAACCGTAGCTGATCTCGCCATAGGGGGAAGTCCGAGCAAACTGAAGCCGGTAACCCTGGGTCATGGTTGAGACCACCCAGTGGTCCGTGCTCAGAGCTGTCCAACCCATGCGACGGGCTGTAGTGATGCGAGGGCTGGGTCCTTGCTGGCGTCAGGAGGAAGGCTGCGGCTGCCGGGAACCATGGCCCCGAGCCCTGCCACCACGCCGACCTGCCTGTCTTCGTCTGCTCCGCCTAGAGTCTTCCAAGTAGTCCCTCAGGTCCTCAGGGGGTTGCCTAGGGTATACAGCTTGAGCGGTTGATGACCTACGCCCACCCCGGCGGTGGCCAAAGGTACGGGAGATCTCCCGAGCACAACGGCGGGCCTCCTGAGCTTGTTGCAGCAGGGCACTGGCCTCCTGGCCAAACATGGCTGATGGCTCTACCGGCAGTTTCATAAGACAGGCTCGGTCCTCCTGCTGCAGTCTGGACTGAAATAATGAAAAGAAGTTCGTCTCTGCGAGTCACAAGACAGGAGCTGATTGGTGGTCCTGCTGTACATTCACAGAGGGCCCGCTATAGTAAAACAACGAGAGAGTAATGTCAAGTGACAGTACAATTGACCAATCATATCTTCCCTCGAAATGGGTGGGCTTTATTATCGCAGACTTTATGACAAGTTCCGCCCGCTGCGCTGCCAAGTTTATGCATGTGTTATAACAACGGGTCAAGCTAGGCGGAAGTAGCTAATTAGCATACGTTCATTCACGATGGCTCATGTCAGTGATAGTGATGACATCATTGCAAAACTACTAACCGAGTAATTTTCAAGGATGAGTTACACTGATAAATTGGAGTTATTTACCAAAGGGCGACCAACACCACGGCTTAACTTACTTAAAAAAAAAACGGTTCGAGAGGCATTTTAATATCGACAATTACGCCAGATACAACTGGATGACTGGATCAACCAGGGAACCAAAGCTTTACTGCTGGGATTGCTTGCTTTTTGAAGTTTATCCAAATCAGCACATCGCCATCGGAATGCTTCAGGTCACCTCAGAGCTACTATTCGCCTTAAAACATTTGGGGACACCAGGAGAGAGCTCCAGCTGGATAATAATAATAATTCCTTACATTTATTATAGCGCTTTATCAATGACTCAAAGCGCTTTACATATACACACATTACACATATATGATACATGCAATGGTCAGATACTGTGGACAATACCCACAGGAGCAAGTTCAGGTGAAGTGTCTTGCCCAAGGACACACCGGCTTTACAGACGCAGCAGCGGCGGGTTTCACCCCTTGATCTGATGATCATTGCACAGCGCACTGCGCCACACCGTCCATCTTCACGCCTCGAAGACATCGAGGCGCTTTTACAGGTACACATTGGTATTATACATGTACTGTGGACAATACCCACAGGAGCAAATCCGGGTGAAGTGTCTTGCCCAAGGACACAACGGCCTGACGCAGTGGCGGCAGGAGCGGGTTTCGAACTGGAGTTCCCCAGCACTCCCCCTTGATCTGATGATCGGATGCAAAGACCACTGCGCCACCCGTCCCATGAGCAACCTTGCCGGGATGTCATCGCTCATAATGAAAAGGTGAAGAGGAACCAAGGAATTTTGAAACGCCTCAAACTGTGTGGTGTACTTGTGCAAGCAGGAGTTGCCGTTCCGAGGTCACGATGAGAGTGTAACTTCATCAAACAAGGGGAATTACATAGAGTTGGTGGATTTAGTGGCAGAATATGACATCGACCTGCACACACACCTCGCCACATCAACACTCTTTACCGGTATGTCCTCGAGGATTCACAATGACCTGATCAGCGCTCTTGCTAGTGTAATAACGGATAGCATGAAAAAGGAACTGAGGAAGGCACCTTTTGTAGCGGTCATGTTGGATGAAAGAACAGACATTAGCAACGTGGCGCAGATGTCATGTGCTTCGATATGTCACTGAAGATGGGATAAAAGAGCGTTTTTTCAAGTACGAAGATGTGACAGAGGACAAACGAGCAGAGGCCATAGCTACACGGCTGCTGGAGTTCCTGAGGGAGAGTGGCTGTATTGAAAAAGTGGTCGCACAGTGCTACGATGGAGCAGCTGTTATGGCCTCTGGATTGAATGGGGTGCAAGCGAAAGTTAAGGAAACAATTTCACAGGCCCTTTTCATTCACTGCTATGCTCAAATCTTATATCTCGTTGTGGCAAAGGGAGCTTCCAAGATAAGAGAGTGTAAGGTCTTCTTCTCCCACCTCTCTGGCTTGGCCACCTTTTTCAGCCGCTCAGCAAAGCGCACCAAGCTACTGGATGATATTTGCCAGCATAGGCTTCCACGGGTAGCTCCTATTCGCTGGTGCTTTCATTCTCGCTTGGTCTTTTATCCACCACGAAAGTCGAGGAGACCCAGCAACGTTCCTCAGGCCCGTATCCCTCCCAATCGACCAATAATTGGCGTCCTCGGCCCTGTTTGCAGACCGACAGAAGTTTCCTGACCGTGTACACCGGGCCACCATCAACGATCCGGGGTGGAGGGGGGGGTTTGTAGGGGGGAACCAGAGTGCTCTCTTGAACTGGCTTGAGTTTGCTGACATGGAACGTAGGATGAACCTTCAAGTACCTGGGGAGTTTGAGGCGCACAGAGACAGGGTTAATGATTTTTGAGACTGGGAAAGGACCCACAAACCTCGGTGCCAACTTCTTGGAATGAACATAAAGAGGTAGGTCCTTGGTAGAGAGCCAGACTTTCTGTCCCGGCTTGTAGAGGGGGGCCGCACGTCTGTGACGATCCGCCGCTGACTTCATCCGGGTCGAGGTCCGGAGTAGCGCCTGCCGAGCACCGGCCCAGACCCGCTGACAGCGTCGAACCATAGCGTGCGCGGATGGCAACTTGACTTCTTCTTCATTGGCAGGGAAGAGAGGGGGCTGATATCCGTTTGCACACTGGAACGGGGAGAGACCAGTGGCAGCCGATAGAAGAGTGTGTGGGCATACTCTACCCAGGTCAGATGATCGCTCCAAGTGGATTGCTTCTGGGACACGAGACACCTGAGGCAGGTTTCGAGGTCCTGATTCAGGCGTTCTGTCTGACCGTTGGACTGCGGGTGATAACCGGAGGACAAGCTGACGGTGGCGCCGAGGAGCTGGCAAAACTCCTTCCAGAAGATGGAAGTGAACTGAGGACCTCTGTCTGAAACTATGTCGCTGGGAAAACCATGAATTCTGAACACATGAGTAAGCATGACCTCTGCCGTTTTCTTGGCAGAGGGAAGTTTGAGCAGAGGAATGAAATGTACCATCTTTGAGAACCGATCCACCACTGTAAGGACGGTAGTGTTACCTTTGGAAGGTGGGAATCCAGTCACAAAGTCCATAGAGATATGCGACCATGGTCGTTGAGGCACTGGGAGAGGCTGGAGCAGACCCACCTGGGCCTGGGAAGAAGTCTTATTCTGGGCGCACGCTGGACAGGCCGCCACATATTCAGAGACCTCTTTTCTCATGGCCGGCCACCAGAACCGCTGCTTTATGGCAAACATAATTCGCCGGACCCCCGGATGGCATGTGAGCTTGGACGTGTGAGCCCAGTGGATTACCTGAGAGCGTAAAGACACAGGGACAAACAAACGGTTGTCTGGACACTCACTAGGTGCCGGGCTCACAACATTAGCCTGCTTCACATCTGTTTCTATCTGCCAAGTTACCAACCCAACCACACAGTTTAGTGGAAGGATTGATTCAGGTTTCTTGGCATTAGAGACAGGCTCAAAGAGACGAGACAGTGCGTCTGGCTTACGGTTTTGCGTACCGGGTCTAAAGGATAACGTAAAGTTAAACCTACTAAAGAACAGAGACCACCGGGCCTGACGTGAATTGAGTCTCTTGGCTTTTCTGACATACTCTACGTTCTTGTGGTCTGTCCACACAACAAACGGTTGCTCCGCCCCTTCGAGCCAGTGTCTCCACTCCTCCAAAGCTGCTTTGACAGCTAGTAACTCCTTGTTCCCCACATCATAGTTATTTCCAGCTGAGGTCAACTTACGCGATAGATAAGCGCAGGGGTGCATCCGGTTATCCTTGGAGGACCTCTGGGACAACACAGCCCCTATGCCTTCGTTGGACGCGTCGACCTCAACCATAAACTGTCTCTGGGGATCCGGAACAGTGAGTACGGGAGCCGTGGTGAATCCTTTCTTGAGGCACTGGAAAGCAGACTCGGCCTGGGGGGTCCACTGAAAGGAAACTTTGGAAGAGGTGAGAGCATGTAGAGGAGCGGCTACAGAACTGAAGTTGCGTATAAACTTTCGGTAAAAGTTGGCAAACCCCAGGAACTGTTGGACTCTCTTGCGGCTATCTGGAGTAGGCCAGTCGGTCACCACACTGACCTTGGACGGATCCATCTGGAACTGATTGGCGGTGATAATGTAGCCCAGGAAAGAGACAGTGGTTGCATGGAAATCGCACTTCTAAGCTTTCACATACAACTGATTCTCCAGAAGCTTCTGGAGGACTTGGCGGACATGCCTGACATGAGACTGAATATCTGGAGAGAAAATCAGAATATTGTCCAAATACACGAAAACAGACACATTCAAAAATTCTCTCAAAATGTCATTGACCATAGTTTGAAAAACAGCAGGAGCATTGCATAGTCCAAAAGGCATAACCCTGTATTCGTAATGTCCGCTAGGTGTGTTGAACCCCGTTTTCCACTCGTCACCCTCTCTAATCCTGACGAGGTGGTAGGCATTTCTCAGATCGAGCTTGGTGAACACCTTAGCTGACTGAAGTAGTTCAAAAGCTGAAGACATCAGCGGGAGAGGGTGGCGGTTTTTCACCGTAATGTCATTTAATGGACTGTAGTCAATGCATGGTCTTAAAGACCCATCCTTCTTCCCCACAAAGAAGAATCCTGCGCCCGCAGGTGATGAAGAGGGACGGATTATCCCCGCTTTCAGAGAGGAGGAGATGTAGTCATCCATGGCCGCCCGCTCTGGTCCTGAGATAGAATATAAGCACCCCCTAGGGATGGGTGCGCCAGGTAACAGGTCGATGGCACAGTCAAACGGACGATGAGGAGGCAATGATAGTGCATTGGTTTTGTTAAAAACCTCTTTAATGTCATTGTAGCAAGAGGGGACCTTGGAAAGGTCAGGAAAGTCTGAGCTACTATCAGCCACTGCAACAGTACGTGGAGCTTTACATGAATGTTCACAATTCTCTCCCCATCCCTTAATTTGTCCTGAACACCAGTCTATATGTGGGTTGTGTGTTTTTAACCAGGGAAACCCCAAAATCAGCGGATGCTGTGCAGAATCGAACAGATGAAATTGCATCATTTCCACATGATTATTGTCAATAGTCACTTGCATGGGTTCTGTACAGTCAGTGACTCTACACATAAGTCTGCCGTCTAGGGCACTGGCATTAATGGGATGTTTGAGCGGAACAGTCTTAATATTAAGACGTTTTGCTAGACCCCAGTCTATGAGACTTTCATCAGCCCCAGAGTCAATTAAGGCCCCCATAGTGTGTGTCTGACTATTGGCAGTGATATCTACCTGGGTGAGTGTGCGAGGAGGATAATCAGATGACATTTTGCTCACCAACGCCCTCCTCATGGTTGGTGAGCATGCCCTTTTCCCGGACATATCGCCTGCTGGTGTCCCATATGACCACAGTAGAAGCAGCATCCCTCCTGCAGGCGGCGCCGTCGTTCCTCTGGAGAAATCCTCATTCTCCCGAGCTGCATAGGTTCCTCCGGTGCCTGTGGTGGCGCTGTCACTGCTGGGCCTGATGAAGAGGCGAACAAGGAATCCCATGAGGACTGCCTACCCAGAGAGCGCCCCTGGTGGCTGGGAGGTCTTGTTGCGACTCTGCGTCGTTCTCTCTCTCTTTCCCTGATGCGATTGTCAATTCGGAGAGACGTGGAAATGAGTGATTCGAGGTCTTGTGGTAACTCTAATGGAGCCAGGTGATCTTTAATTGTCTCTGATTGTCCATTGCGAAAGGCATCTATTAATGCTGGAGTGTTCCAGCCACTGTCTATGGCTAAGGTATGGAACTCTATGGCATAATCTACTACGGGCCTTGAGTGCTGTTTGAGCTGCATAAGAGCCTGAGTGGCGTCACCGGTAGGTGAGGTAATATCAAATATGCGGCTCATAGTGTCTTTGAACGCTATGAAGGATCTACAGATATTGGAATTTCTAGACCACTCCGCAGTGGCCCATGCGGCAGCTCTGCCGCATGGGCGATCATAAACGCTATCATAGCCTCATCAGATACAAAAGCTGCTGGATTAAGTTGGTAATGTAAATCACACTGGACTAAGAAGGCTCTGCAGTTTTGGTCAGTTCGTTCTGTTAGGAACCGTGACTCCCTGATATGAGGACTCAATTGCACAACCCAGAGACGAAAAGGTTTGAAGAAAAATAAACTTTAATGGATCAAAAAACAAAGAAAACACTCTTTACAGAGTGAGTGACATAACGGTCACAAAACAAAACGCTCTCATGGAGGATATCAAAAAAGGTACTTGGTCTCTCTATGGCTGCTTGGATCTGACTTCTTGGAATGACGAACAAGACGAACTGACAACAGACAAGGGGAGACAGGACAATATATACAAGAGGTAAGTGGGAACAGGTGGAAACAATCAGGGGCGGGGCAGACGCTGACGATGGCGGGAAACAAGAACCAAGGAAGTAAAGGCACCTGGAATGAGACAAGGAGTACAAAATAAAACAGGAAGTGAAACAAACAAAACAAACATGAACGTGACAAATACATAACAAACTAACATAATTGACGGGACACAACAGCACAGGCAGAGCCCTCTACTGGACTCTATGGCTACTGCCCTCTAAACAGTGTTTAAAATGCAGGGAATAGTGCATCAAAGGACGGACTTAAGACCTCCAGCATGTGTCCCTAACATGGGCACTTCCATAACCTTGCACACCGAGTGCCCGGGTACCCGCACTTAAGCGCTCCCTCACAGACTAAACCCAGATATTCACACCTCCCAGAACCTCATGCATCTGGTATCCTTAAAGGGGGGTGGATTTTGTGGTGCTTTACTTTCCGCCTCTCACCCCTTATTGGCACCACCACCACTTCTGGGCTGGAGGTTCACACACTTTAACTTTTTTTCTCCCTCTTCTGCCTTCTTGCCTCTGCCAACACTTGAGCACTCCTCACAGGGTTCAGCACCAAGGAGAGTGCCTCCCCAGTGCTGATGGAAAGTGGCACTTTAGCTGCCCCTGGGAATCCCTTACATTCCTCCAGAGTGTTGTGCCAATAAATGAAAAAATTAATTAATTAATAGAACCGGGCCAAGGGGGGGAAAGTTAAAAATAAGTGTCCGAAGATAGGCACTTGTGAGGTGGGTAGAGTCCCCTGTCAACTCCCCTTATATTCCTCCAGAGCGTTGTGCCAAAACTGAAGAAAAAAGAAAATAAATAAATCCGGGCCAAAAGGGTGAAAATGAAAAAAAGTATCCGAAAATAGTGACTCATAATGTGGGTAGTCCCCTGTCAACTCAACTTGCATTCCTCCAGAGGCACATTTGTCAGAGCAGTGTTAATTTCGTCAACGAAAACTATGACGAAAAATGTTCGTCAACGACCTTTTTTACATGACTAAGACGAGACGATGACGAGCTAAAAATAGATTCTCGATAACGCAAACTTTGATGAAATGTATTTTTAGTTTTCGTTAACGAGACGGGACTAAGGTGTTAATGGTGGACTATCGGACATTCAAAATGCAGGGTATTTCCCCCAATTGTCCGTCTTGTCTATCAAAATGCATCTTACGTTTCTAACTTGCAATATCATTATTTCCGCTCTCTTCAATCCAGAAGAGCGATCTCCCTGTGTCTCTTTGTGTGCGGGGGTGGGGCCTAACAGACACGCTGCAGTGGCACACAGAGATCTGCCGGGGACGGACCGTTCAGAAGTATAGAGACACTCTAAAAGGCTCTATGTGGACAAAGCTCGTTCGCCATTAGTGTTAGCGCGTTGACACGAGTAGAGTAGTCTGTCCAAACAGCCGCCAAAAGGCGTCATATTCAGTTGGGGAAATGTACAATTTTCGACTTCCTTAACTCGTAGCTCTGTTGCCCCAATTACGAGTAACGTTATCACATCAGGTGTGCAGAGGTGGGAGAAGTACTCAGATCTTGTAGTTACGTAAAAAAATACCATAGTGTAGGAAGAGTTCCTCAAGTAAAAGTATGATCATCATAATATAGTTAAAGTAGCGACAGTAAAAGTAGTGCAGATTTGTCCACTTCAGAATAATATATATGATATGTTTTATAATGATTGATCATTAAAGTGTTCTCAAAGCTGGTAAAGGTGCAGCTCGTTTGAATGACTTTGTATACTGCAGGGTAGCTTGTGAATTTACTCCAGGTGGAACTAAAGTCTGATTGAACACTTGATTATATTTCACATCATTCATCCACATCTGTAAAGTAACTAAAGGTATGAAATACATGTAGTGGAGTAGAAGTACACCATTTAACTATGAACTGTAGTGAAGTAGAAGTACACAGTAGCAAAACATTTAAATACTCCAGTAAAGTACCTCAACATTTTACTCAAGTACAGTACAATATTTTAACATAATTATATATATTTAATTTAGTTCACATTTAAATAAAGCAATTAATTCGGTTAACAATTTGTTAGTATTTCCTTTAAAAAAATTACAAAAAGTAAATACAAGAATTCCGTTAAAGAACTGGATCGATAAGCAGTATCGCTAAGACTAGTAGTACCGTAGAAAACCTTAAAGATACCCATCCCTAGATATTACACAAGTCAAGTGTTAAGAGAGTGAAATGTTGCTCTACGAATTTCAACACTTGATGCTGTCCCATTGATTCCAATGTCAGAAACCTGTATTTGACTGAATTGGTTTAAAGAGACAGCACATTTTGACTAAAAGTTGACTAAAATGTAATTTTTCATCGACTAAAAGTAGACTAAAACGTTTTGAGTTTTCGTCGACTAAAAGTAGACTAAAACGTTTTGAGAAAATGTAAAAATAGTGTCCAAAAATAGTGCCTCATGAGGCGGGAAGAGTCCCCTGTCAACTCCCCTTACATTCCTCCAGAGGCACATTGTCAGTCAACTTTTGTGAGAACCAGACTGGGGGGGTCTTGAGGCACAAAATAATGCCGACCCAAAGTGCATGGTGAGCGGACACTTCACCTCCGTGTTTGCAGACAGCCGTTTTTTTTGTGCACCCAAAAACCGGGTTTCCGATTTCGTGCAGACTGTAGTCCAAAATGTATGGATGAATATTTTTGACGGAGAAGGGGAAATGAAGCCTTGGACACTTTCCCCCTTCTCCGTTGCAACTTACAACGGAGAAGGGGAAAAAAGGACCCAAAGACCCAAAGGGTTGAGCTTTTTCGGGCCCCATCTCCGTTGGCACTTAGTCATTTTTTCGACCATTTTTTTAACTTCATTTTTTATTATTTTAAGATATAATTAACCGTTTTCTTCACTTTTTTCTTCTTTCCACGGGTGGGTGCGCTTGGCAGGCCGCTTATGAGCACCCAAACTCGGCCTGGAACCTCCAGGATTTGTGGGCTAAGCTCCATAAACTGACAAAATCACCCAGAAATGTCACTTTCCTAGTCCAATACAAATACATTTAAATAGTAAAAGGTACAATTGTGCTCCGAATTACCCGGAGATGGATGTATATAGCCCCATGATAGTGATTAACCTGTTAAGCACTGAGTCTGTTTTTCAGGTCTCAGGCTCGAAAATGACATTCCCAGATTCAGATTTAACATAGTAACATAGTAACACAGCTGACATCTCTCAGTGGATGTCTGCTCACCACCTCAAGCTCAACCTTGACAAGACTGAACTGCTTTTCCTTCCGGGAAAAGATTGTCCCACTCTTGACCTAACAATCAACATCGGCACCTCTGTTGTTTCCCCGACTCAGACTGCAAGGAATCTGGGTGTGACCCTAGATAACAAACTGTCCTTCACTGCAAACATCGCTGCTACAACCCGCTGCTGCAGATACACGCTTTACAACATCAGGAGGATACGTCCCCAGCTGACCCAGAAAGCCACGCAGGTTCTGGTCCAGGCTCTCGTCATCTCACGCCTAGACTACTGCAACTCCCTCCTGTCTGGTCTACCTGCATGTGCCATCCAACCTCTGCAGCTCACCCAGAATGCAGCGGCTCGTCTGGTCTTCAACCTTCCTAAATTCTCCCACACCACGCCGCTCCTCCGCTCCCTTCACTGGCTTCCGGTAACTGCTAGAATCCAATTCAAGACAATGGTACTTGCGTACCATGCTGCGAATGAATCTGGCCCTTCCTACATCCAGGACATGGTTAAACTGTACACCCCAGCACGTGCACTCCGCTCTGCATCAGCCAAACGACTCGCTGCGCCCTCGCTGCGAGGGGGACCCAAGTTCCCATCAGCAAAAACACGTGGGTTTGCTATCCTGGCTCCAAAATGGTGGAATGAGCTCCCCATTGACATCAGGACAGCAGATAGCTTACACATCTTCCGGCGCAGACTGAAAACTCATCTCTTTCGACTCCAATTCGAGCGATAGAACTATTAACAAAGCACTTATACTAATAAAGGACTGGCTTATCTAAAGCCAGTTGAGTAGCACTTGAAATGTTTTTGCTCTATGAAACCTGATGTACTTATATGATTCTGTTTTCTTCAATTTTGTATTTTGTTGGTTGAACGCACTTATTGTAAGTCGCTTTGGATAAAAGCGTCAGCTAAATGCAATGTAATGTAATGTAATGTAAAAAAACTGTAAATTATAGTGTCCGTCCAAAATTATTTTTTACTTATAGTGAAAACTACCCTTGGATGATGGTAAGGTAGACTAAAAGCTTTAGGAATCCAAAGTAAAACATATAATAAGTACCCTGTATCGAGATTGATGCAAACCAGGTGACATTTGACCTTTTTAGAGAGGTTTAGCAAAAAAAATTCACCTCTAAGGTGATTTGGGTGGAAATGGGCGTTATTACCATTTCTCTGGAACCCATTTTTCGATTTTGGTGATTGACATCTCTTTTTGACCGTTAGAGCCAATAGAATCGAAGGGGAATTTCCACATACACACACATGTTACCATTGAGAAATGAGAGCTATGTGCACACAGCTTTGCATGAGAGCGAACCTATCTCTCGCTCTGACATCTGGAAACGGAAAAGCAGTTTTATTGCTTATGGATTATCATAAATCATTTCATAGGGACACAGACACATTGGATTAACCTATGGATTAACCTTCAGCAGCGTTTTTACCGTTTTACTGCCATTGAAGACCACTTTTGACCAGACAACGACCAAGGTAAGCCATGTTGCCGTTTTTAGCTACCTAGCGCCACATGTTTTGATGTCTGTTCTTGTAATATCTTAGCGAGTTCTTATCATGGAGTGATAATGTAGGTACCGATCGATTCTGTGTCTTCTCACGATGCTAATCAATGGGTTGGACGTGCAGCTACAATAAGTAATAAGGGTATTAGGAGTGCGTTTCTGTGCAGTAATAACAATTATTTTCATGGAAAAAAGTGTTAAAACGCCTGATTAAAGCATATACAGGACCCCAGTGAGCTCCAGTGTATGTGCATTGTTTCAGGGAACCATATTAATGATAACATAAATGCATTTAAATGCAAAAATAATGATTTAAAATTATTTTAGGGGAAAAAGTGTGTAGAGAACCTCACTTTACAAGGCAGAAATAGTGATTAAAATGCGGGGAAAGTGTCTTAAATATGGACATAGAGTACCCAGAGAACCAGGCTGCAGCACCTGGAGGAACAGGCGGAGAGGGGAGTGCTTTAGTATGGGTAAGAAAGTGAGGTATTGAAGCCTCAAATTGATGGACTTTATTTAGTATTGAAAAAGGTTAATGTATTGTACAATGTTGTACAATGCAGGGACCATTTCAATGCAAAATCATTAGTAACTAACCCTAACCCTAACCCTAACCCTAACATCATATGTGTAATTCGTGGCACAATTCAAACAATAATAATAATAATTCTTATTACAGACACATGCATTTCCTAACATTCGGTCTATATGCTGTAAAATGTATTATCTCTTCGATTTACACACGGCATCTATTGCACGTCTGTCCGTCCTGGGAGAGGGATCCCTCCTCTGTTGCTCTCCCTGAGGTTTCTCCCATTTTCCCCCCTTAAACTGTGGGTTTTCTCTGGAAGTTTTTCCTTGTACGATGTGAGGGTCTAAGGATAGAGGGTGTCGTTTTTCTCATACTGATATTCTGAACAATCTGTGCTGTTGTATTTGCAGTCCCTACTGTAGGCTATTTTTATTATATGTACAGCACTTTGGCTCGACCAAAAATCGTTTAGAAATGTGTTATATAAATAAAACTTGATTTGATTTGATTTGATTTAAAAAGACAGGTGCTTATAATGATCATTTTCAGAAAATGTATAAGAACAAGAATGTGTTTTTTGAACATTAAAGTTTGTAATGATGGGCTACTAAAATCCCAAAACACAATTGAGAATGTGCATGATAAGTCCCCTTTAAATCATGTTACCAGGTAAAAGGTTTTTTAAGAGTTTTCGGCCCACTTACTGATATGTATCTTGTTATGAACACACTCTAAACATTAGCTGTAACAATCAGAAACACCTTTTCCATCAAGGAAGTTGTGGAGGAACTGGGTCTGTGGGCCTGGGTCCACCAGGAAGGAAGCCGCCTCATGATGATGAAAAGACGATGTGAACACATCTTTGGGGTTCCTCGTCACATAGATGACCTGCAGTGATGACATGACGTCAGACCCTTTCCTTCACACATACTGTCTGTGATGCGTTTATCACATTGAATCTGATCCACTTTAGTTGATAGGTTTACCTTTGGCTTTACTTCAAAGAAAGATGGTGGCATCATGTTGTACTGGAAGTGTGTAGTCAACAGTCGTGGAGAGGGCCTCTGTTCAAGTTCGAGGGAGGCGGTCTGCTGCAATTCAAGCCAGGGAACACGTTTCCAGTTAACAATATTGTCAACAGGTTCTGGATCTCCTCCACTCATGATCAGAGAGACAATCTCCTTCATCCAGTGTGTACCTAAACAAAAAGAAAAAAAGATTTTCTCCAGTGACCACGTCGTTAGTCTGCTGCTCTAATTATGTCAATTAGAGTTATGACATCATCGTGTTCTGTGACACAGGTGTTTATATTTGAGCTAACAACGTGTCCAGAGATCAAAGGTTTCCATGGTGATCAGTGAGAGGAGAGCATTTTCATTGTCCTGAATGAGAGATAAACCTGTTACATGTGAACGTTTTGTTGAAGAACCGTAACAGATATCGGTGAAATATCAAAGTGTGAAGCATGTCAAGGAAGTTGAGCATCTGAAGTGTGCTTTTTGTGTACTTTCGGGTTAATAATGTGGCCTTTTTGGCAGATTAACTAAAAGTGTACGGCTGCTGTGGTGGGGAAAGATGAGGCTGAACTTATAATGGGTTTTGATGGAGACATGTTGAACGTTTTTGTCACTTCATGCCCTCAAGAGGCATTTTGTTAAATTGTTTTGCTTAATTTTTTGTTATCTTTCAAGCTACGAGATGTTTTCCTACGTTTGTCATGAAAAATTATGTCTTAGGAATGTAGGGTTTAGGAATGATGGCAGGTATAAAAGAAAATATGAGGGCAAAATTAAATCTGTCCTCCACTCTAGCTGTGACATCACGCACTCTAAAATCTAAAGAAGGCCTCTTTACCAAGGTCTGAACAATGTTTAATATCTCTAAAAGTACAAATCAGATTTAAAAGTTGTGTTACACGAATAATGTCAGGAAGATGTGTAACATCTTAAAGTTGGAATGAGGTTTCTGAGTGAAAGTATGAAGGAGCAGCAGTTGAAGAAGGAGCAGTTAGCAGTTGAAGTTGCATGAAGATTGTTGAAGTCTGAAGAGTTTCTCCATTGACTTCCATGTTAAAATGGAATGAATTATGGGATGTATCTCTGGAATTATGAAAGTTATGAATGATAAAAGTAATTGCCATTGATTCCAGACCGAGCTGAACGTTTTGATGTTTGAACGGAGTTTCTGCGATGTTCAATGTGGGAGGAGAAGTGGTGCAAAATAACCCGGCGGAATAATAAATAATTTTGTGCGTAGCATAACAGATAGTTGGAATGCTGTGTCAGCATTCCCACTAAATAACTTGTTTTATACCATTTCAAATCAGAATCAGAGGAACTAACTTGCTGATACTTGTATCATTGGCATACAGTAGTAGGATCATTGTCCTCAACCGGACCTCAGACCATGGACAGAGAGAGCATGGTACTGCTGTAGGACCCCAGATGTCTTTGAACACTGCCTAAGGACAACCCAACGGACCCATCTGAAAAATGAGCTAGCTATAGCTAAAAAGCCCATCTTTTACAGTAACAGAAAACCCAGTACATATATCTACACTGCAATTATTGACAGTGGCGGTTCTAGACCAATTTGACTGGGGGGGCCGGCTGGGGCCAGTTATTTTCTGAAGGGGGCCCAATAAATGCAGGACGAAAAAGACAAAGACAGTATGAAGTAATTGTGCATAACAACAATGCAATACAGCTATTGGTATTTGTTTCAGTACACATATTTATTTCAGATACTTATAGTTACAGTTTTTACGCTCTAATGGGTCCGACGAGAATGACAAATAGCGTTAGTTCCGCCTATTCTTTTTTTAGGGGTGCCACAGGGGGGTCCAAAGTCTCCTGCCCCCCCCCCCCCCCCAGAACCGCCCCTGGTGGGCAATGAAGTATATTTTGAAAGACATGGGGTCTAGTGTTTAACAAAAGTGTTAAAAAAAACAACAATGACGGCAGGCAGGGTTTAGGCATTATATTTAAACTATACATAGACATGTTTTTATATATCTGAGACCTGTAATATCTGCCTAAAAACAGTACAATAGGAGACCTTTAAGTGTTGTTTATCACACACATATCACACATATAAACAGCTGTTTCCTTCCCTACCTGCATGCACATGTTACTCTGTTTTTACCTCTGTGTGTCTGTTGGTATTTGACCCTGAGTGCAATGCTAATCTTCTACATATCATATTCTATTTACATATATGTAGACTTCTTGCACTATTTGTATTTTATGATATATGTTGCATTGTTGGAGGAGCTCAGGTCAGAAGAATTTCATTGCCATTTCTACACTGTAGCTGCTGAGCATATGATGATAAAACCTTTGAATCTGGAATCCAGTGTGTGTGTGTTCACATATTCTGGTCCTTATTTCTGATTCTCCCGTGTTTCCTCAGACTGTGTCAGCGTTTGCTCTGATCTGTAACCCGGCTCAGAGTCCCTGGGGTCAGAAGGCTTTCTCTGGATACCTGGGGTCGGACAGAGACCCCTGGCAGGTGAGAGGAAACACACCTGAGTGTCATCAGATCTCATCATCACACTAAAAACATATATATTTTTGTTGTGGTTGTATAAAAGTACAAGAACGTACAACATATATGAAAACAAAGATGGGTTAAAGCAGAATGTTTGGTTGGATGAAAATATTTTATGTGAAGTTTGGAAATAATGATACTGATCTTATTTGGTAATTACATTACCCACAATGCATTAGCTCCACCACAGATTCAAGTGTGTTATGCTAGTGGCTGTTAATGTATCCTGCAGAAGAGCCTGTGAAGTCACGTATTTCTGCAGATATTTAACTTGTTTAGACTCGTACTTTAGATGATGTGTAGAAGTACTTCAGGTGTTTAGCTTGTCTAAAGAATGTGCAAAATAGATGAAAACAAAGATGGATTAAAGCAGATTCTTTGGTTAGATACACATAGTTTATGTTAATTTTAGAAATAATTATCATGATCACATTTAGTAATCTATTTTAAAGAGCATTTAAAAGCAAGCTGGAGGTTTATAGTGTAGAAAACGCACCTATTTTTCTGTTTCTTTAATATCTATTCTAGCTATTTAAATATTTATTGGAGCCTCCAGATTTTTATGACGTTTGTATATTGACTCGTTTGTTACGATGATTTGTCTTTTTAATGCAAACTGAATCTACCGAACGATACAGTAAATAACCGTCAACTATTTTAGTATTTCAATAAATGTTGATGTTTGTGTGTAACTGTGTGTGCATGTGACTGTGTGTGTGTGTCTCTGTCTGTGTGTTCCTGTGTGTGTGTGTGTTGTGTGTGTGTGTGTGTGTGTGTGTGTGTGTGTGTGTGTGTGTGTGTGTGTGTGTGTGTGTGTGTCTCTGTCTGTGTGTGTATGTGTGTTCCTGTGTGTGTGTGTGTGTGTGTATGTGTGTCTCTCTCTGTCTGTGTGTGACTGTGTATGTGTGTGTGTGTGTCTCTCTGTCTTTGTGTGTGTGTGTGTGTGTGTGTGTGTGTGTGTGTGTGTGTATGTGTGTTCCCGTGTGTGTTTGTGTGTGTGTGTGTGTGTCTCTCTCTCTCTGTCTCTGTGTGTGTGTGTGTGTGTGTGTGTGTGTGTGTGTGTGTGTGTGTGTGTGTGTGTGTGTGTGTGTGTGTGTGTGTGTGTGTGTGTGTGGTGTGTGTGTGTGTGTGTGAGTGTGTGTGTGTGTGTGTGTGTGTGTTACAGGAGTACGATGCCACAGTATTGGTTGCTTCGTACCCCGGCCCTCCATTGGACGTCCTGATCGATCAGGGGCGGGAATATCAGTTCCTGTCGGCCAATCAGCTGCTGCCAGACAACCTGATCGCCGTCTGCTCCGAGAAGAAGATCCCCGTCGTCTTCAGACTGCAGCCGGTACGTCTAACGCCTCTTTAAAGTGTCTCAGAAACACGTCTTTATAACCGTCATCCTCCGTATCACTCTCTACTCTCACTATCTGTGACATATCCAAGACTGTGATAAAAAAAAGAAGCCACTCCCCAGATATGTATTATATGGAAAACAGTGATCTGATGTTTTCAAAATGGCATTTAAAGGGTTAAAATCCTGACAATGATTACATACTTGGTATTTTTTATTAGGACTGAAGTTGCTTTACAAATTGAACGCAAAAAAGTGGTGAGTCAAAGTTTTTGGAATGACTAATTAGGGAGTCGATTTGATCTTATTTTCTCAGAGTGAATCCTCCGCTTTTTTTTATCGTTTTAATGCCATTGAACACGACTTTTGATCAGAAACCAACAGCTAAGGTGAGACGATCTCGTGTTGTGATGTCTGTGTTTGTTTCCCCTGTCGCGAATTCTGATCGCTCAGTGATGATACCAATACCTATTAGGGCTGTGCATCTTCACTGGTCTCACGATTCGATTCGATTACGATTATCCTGTCAACGATTCGATTCAATTCGATATCCCGATGCATCCCGATGCATCACGATTCATACCAATGCGTTGCATCCTCAATTTTCTATATTACTGCACATGGCTTATTTTTCATCAATGCATACATGCAGTAAATACATATGAACTCTCTTTTTATTATTTAGAAAGTGCTTCAGAAATCAATAACATAAATGTCTTGACATTCATTTATAAACCAAAATAAATGAATTGTATAGGTCTAGCCTCCCTATATCTGTGTGTGTTCCATCCTCAAAAACAAAAAACGAATGCTTCTGCAGTCTAGCTGCAGCTTCTAGCAACGGTCTTCTGTTAAAAAAAGGACACTGAATGTCCTGAATGTGGCATCACACACAGGACTTGAGTCTGAACACAGCAGACAACAGGAGTATTTACAACAGCATATAACAACTAAAATACTGCATGTGGGTGCACACTTAAATTCTCTGTCTTACTGTTGCATAAATCCCATGAATGTATGAGATTAAGTTAGCTTCATTATATCTCAGTGATTAAGTGAATAATAAAGTTTCTATCGGGTCACTATCAGCCTGTCACTCATTATTTTCAGGGAGGGGGCGGGGCTTGGAGGAACGGAGAGGAGATGGTGATCGCGGAAGCTTTTTTCCTCCTGCCTTCACAAACTTTACACACGTATATATCGTCTGAAAATTGCTAGAGGACATTCATACTCTGCAATCCAAGACTTAATTAAATCCACCAAAAACCTGACATGATTGTAACGCGATTATTTTTGAAA